GTCTCCCTCCTTCCCACCCTCCCTATCCCACCCCTCCAGACAGCCACAAAGAACTGAGCTGTTTTCCCTGTGCCATGCGGCTGCTTCCCACTGGCTATCTACCTTACGTTTGTTAGTATATATATGTCCATGTCTCTCTCTCGCCCTATCACACCTCACCCTTCCCCCTCCCCATATCCTCAAGTCTGTTCTCCAGTAGGTCTGTGTCTTTATTCCTGTTTTACCCCTAGGTTCTTCATGACATTTTTTTTTCTTAAATTCCATATATATGTGTTAGCATACGGTATTTGTCTTTTTCTTTCTGACTTTCTTCACTCTGTATGACAGACTCTAGGTCTATCCACCTCATTACAAATAGCTCAATTTCGTTTCTTTTTATGGCTGAGTAATATTCCATTGTATATATGTGCCACATCTTCTTTATCCATTCATCCGATGATGGGCACTTAGGTTGTTTCCATCTCCAGGCTATTGTAAATAGAGCTGCAATGAACATTTTGGTACATGACTCTTTTTGAATTTTGCTTTTCTCAGGGTATATGCCCAGTAATATATATATATTTTTAATGTGTGTGTATTTTATATATGTATGTATGAGTAAAACTAAAATATTTAAAAACAAAAGCGTACAAACTGAGCAGGGAAGCAAACGGAGTTTAAGAGTTCTATGCTCCTTGCATTACCTCAGAGGTGGTAAAATAACCCTGGATAAGTGGTGTAATTTCTATGGTAGCCATAAGAGAACTGCTAAAGAATTTACAATTAATCTAAAAAATATTTAAGCTAATCCTAAAAGAGACAAGGAGAAAAACAAAATATAATAAATAAAAATAGTAAAATGTTGGACTTAAGCCCAAATGTATCAGTATTTACATAAATGTGAACAGACTAAATTACCCCAGCTAAAAGTCAAAGATTGTCACATGTTAAAAGAAAACCACCACCACCATATTCTGTTTACAAGACATGTTCTTAAGTATAAGGACACAGAAAGGTTGAAAGTAAAAAGAGAGGAAACAATATACCATGGGAACACTAAGCTTGGATTCATAAATGCTCTAAATCCAGGGCTCACAGTTGCCTTTTGCATGTGGCCCCTCCATGGAGAGCCGAGTATTCTCCAAGATCAGAATCTCAACATAAGCCCATTGTGGAAAGTTTGTATAAGTTAAAGGAGTAATTATTGACTTGTATTTAAAGTATGTCTACCTTTACATTTCATTAAGTCTTTTAAAAGAAAAGGAGGAGACAAACAGGCCAAATGCAGAAATAATGGCAGAGGATGTAGATCTGGATTTATATTCTTCAACAGATGTTAGCCAAAGAGGAGCAGTTAAAGTTGTGGTTGTATAGCAGTTTTTGAGGTGGGTTATCATGAATAAAACAATAGCATGTAAAAACCAAAGTTTAAGTAATTTTCCACAAAAAAATGGACTTTTTAACCAAGATAATTAGTTTCTAAATAACTAACTTGAGTATTTAAAGATTATTAAAATTACATGAATTATTAGAAAAGTGTATATCCCCCTGACTTATAAAATAAATTACTGTATTTAATTCATCCCCATTTTTTTCTCTTAAGGGTAAGTTAATTATGGTTCAGATACGCTCAGTTATTATCTTCAGGAAAGGGAGCTACTCCGATCACCTCATTACAGATGACAGTTGCATTTGGGCCCTATTACTAGGAAATGACAAGTGGTAAAGCTGTTCAGTTAAAATTTTCCAGTGCCAGCTGACTTGTTCCAGCTGCACACGAATCTTTTGGAAAGGAAAAGATATATAGAGAAATGAAGCGTGGTAGAGAAATCCACTTTGGCTACTTGCATCCTTTCTGAAAACCAGTCTTGGACAACCCTAAAAAGAAAAATGCAGAAATTTAGTTCAGATCACTAATATCTAAAATTGATTAAAATCCAGTATAAATATTGGTCACTGTTCTTTCTCTAGTGTTCTACCTATTAAAAAATTCAGTCCTAAATAACATAAGGCTAGATTTTTAAGTATCCACTTTCAATGATCCATTCTAAAGAGGAAGATGGATTACAGAAATATCTAAAATCCACAGGGGAAAAAAGTCTGAAATAAACATAGTTGTTTGATATAAATCTGGGTTTTTTCCTTTTTCTTTACCCAAATTCAATAAATCAGCAAGTCCTGTTGGTTCTATACATATATATCCCCCAAATATGTCCCCCATCCCAGCCACTTCTCTCCACCTCCCAGTCTTCACTCTAGTCAGGGCACCTCCACCTCTCTCCTGGGTGGTTGCAGCTGCCTCCTGATTGCCTCCCTGCTCCCACTCCAGTCTTCCTAGAGCCCATTCTCCACACAGCAGCCCAAGTGGTTTATAAAAATGTAAATTAGATAATGTCACTCATGCAAGTAAAACCCTACAGTGACTTCCCAATGCAATTAGAATGAAAACCTACAGCTCCATCACACTTAGTAGTGAAATAGTAAACGCCTTCCTCCTAACAAAGCAAGATTGACTACACTCTGTACTTTAACATGGAATAGAGGTTCTAGCCAGTTCAATAAGGAAAGAAAAAAATAATGAAAGGTATACGTATTGGAAAGGGAGCAGTAAACTGACTCAATTCATGTACCATGTACGTGGAATCTATAAAGCAACTATTTAAATTGTTGAACTTATTAATAAAACATTGTTGCTAATTTTCTTTTTTTTTCAGATGTTTATAGAATCTATAGCAACATCCCCTTTTTCATTCCTGATATTACTAATTCACATTTTCTCTCTTTTATCCTTGGTTACTCTTCCTAGGAGTTCATTGATTTTACTACTACTTGTAACAAACCAGCTTTTGTTTTCATAGATTTTCTCTATTGTTTGTTCATTTTCTATTTTATTGATTTCCACTCTTATCTTCATTTCTTTCTTTCTGTGTACTTTGGGTGTAATTTGCTATATTTTTCCCCTAGTTTTTTTTTTTTTAATTTAATTATTTTTGACTGTGTTGGGTCTTTGTTACTGCACGCAGGCTTTCTCTAGTTGCGGTGAGTGTGGGCTACTCTTCGTTGTGGTGCGCAGGCTTGTGGTGGCTTCTTTTGTTGCAGAGCACGAGCCCTAGAGCACACGGGCTTCAGTAGTTGCAGTGTGTGGGCTCAGTAGTTGCAGTGCATGGGCTTAGTTGCTCCACAGCACGTGGGATCTTCCCAGACCAGGGATCGAACCCGTGTCCCCTGCATTGGCAAGAGGATTCTTAACCACTGTGCCACAAGGGAAGTCCCTCCCCTAGTTTCTTAAGGGGGAAGTTGAGATCATTAATTTTAAATGCTTTTTCTCATTAACATAAACATTATATTATTTTCCCTCTAAGCTGTGCTGCAGACCACATGCTTAGCCATGTTGTATATTCATTGTCATTCAACTTGAAATATTTTCTAATTTCCCTTGTGATTTCTTCTTTGACCATAGGTTATTTATAAGTGCTGTTAGTTTCTAAATGTTTGGGGATTTTCTAGATGTTTTATTTTTATTAATCCCAAAATTTATTGCATTGTTGTTAAAGAATATACTTAATAAGATTTCAACCATTTTGAAATGTATTGAGTCTTAGTTTGTGGACCAGGAAATGAGGTATAAAGGTATAAATGTTACTTTGCTCATAAAAAGAACATATATTTGGAAATTGTTGTGTCTAGTTTCTATAAATGTTAGTTCAAGGTGGATAAGAAAATTGCTCAGTTCTTCTATATTCATACTGATTTTTTTCTTTAGCTCTATTCCGTCAGTTTTTGTTTCATGTAATGTGAAACTCTGTTATTTGGTGCATAAACATTTATAATTGTTATGACTTCTTGATGAATTGTTACTTTTCTTATTATAAAATGTCCATCTCTACCTATCTCTCTGGTAATACTCCTTGTCTTGAAGTCCATTTTGTCTGATATTAATAATGCCATCCTACTTTTATATGCTTACTATTTGCATGGTGTATCTTTTCCTATCCTTATACTTTACCGATCAGTGCCTTTATATTTAAAGTGTATCCCTCATAGTCAATATACAATGAGATTTTTTTTAGCTCATTTGACAACCATTGCCTTTATTTGAGGGTTTAGTCTGCTTGTATTTAATATAATTATTGTTATAGTTGAACCCAAGTCTCAATTTTGTTATTTGTTGTTTGGTTGTCCCATCTGTCTTATGAGCCTTTATTCCTCCTCTCCTGCCTTGGTTTGAGTTAATACATATTTTTATATTCCATTTTAATTCCTTTATTGGCTTTTTAGGATATCTTTGCATTAGTTTTATAAGTTGTTGCTAGGAAGTATGATATGCATCTTTAATTTTTTGTAGTCTACTTAGAGGTAATATTCATATAAAATTAAAGACCAGTGCAACAATATAATTCTCACCATTGTTTGTGCTTTTTTTGTTATCTCTACTGCATCTACTTAGGTTATAAACCCCACAATACATTGCTTTTGCTTTAAATAGTCATATGTCTCTAAAATAACTTCAAAATTTTATATCTTCTCACACATTTATCATTTCCTGTGCTCTTCATTCCTGTTTATAAATCCATGTTTCCATCTGGTATCAATTTCCTTAGCCTGAAGAGCTTCCTTTAGCATTTCTTTACTGCAGGTCTTCTGACAACAAATCTTGTCAGTTTCCTTTTATTTGAAAATGTCTTTATCTCACATTAATATTTGTAATACAATTATGACCCCATTAATTAATTCAAATAATTATCATCCTGTATCCAATCTGGTTTCTGCTACATCCTATTTTTCTTCTTCCTCCCTCATGCCGATATTATTTTAAAGCAAATCCAAGACATCATATAATTTCTTTTTTTTTAAATTATACTTTTAAAAAATTTATTTATTTACTTTTGGCTGCGTTGGGTCTTCATTGCTGCACGCGGGCTTTCTCTAGTTGCGGCGAGCGGGGGCTACTCTTCGTTGCGGTGCGCGGGCTTCTCATTGCGGTGGCTTCTCTTGTTGCGGAGCATGGGCTCTAGGTGAGAGGGCTTCAGTAGTTGTGGCGTGTGGGCTTCGTCGCTCCGCAGTATGTGGGATCTTCCTAGAACAGGGATGGAACCTATGTCCCCTGCACTGGCAGGTGGATTCTTAACCACTGCGCCACCAGGGAAGTCCCAAGACATCATATAATTTCATCCATAAATATTTCAGTGTGTATCATTAAATAATATGTTGTTTTTTGGATTTGGGGTTTTTTTTTTTTGGCCGCACCTCGCGGCTTATGGGATCTTAGTTCCCCGACCAGGGATAGAACCCAGGTCCTTGGCAGCTAGAGCATGTAGCCCTAACCACTGCACCACCAGGGAATTCCCTATCACTAAATAATAATAATAAAAAAATTTAAAACATATACTGCATATAATACTATCATCATACCTTAACATTCAACAATTTCTTAATGTGACATTCATAAAGAAAACTTTTTAAATATGACATCCATCAAGAAAGACTTGTAAGTGAGGATCCAGAAGAAGTAAACTTCTTACAAGCATATGCCACCTAAGCACAGACAGATCTTGAATGAATACAAAACCCAAGCCCCTACTCAAGTGGTCATCTTGGAAGCTATATAGATCTTAGGCCAAAGAAACATTTCATGGCCCATGAAGGATGTACTGCTGGCTCTGCAGCTAACAACTACACACAAAAAAGGACACTGAATACCTGGCTGTCCTCTGTATATAATTAGCAATAAACATCTGCTACAGCCCCAAGCCACCAAATAGCAATTCAGGTATGAGTAAATCTAGCTCTTCCCTGAAACTCCTAATTTCCTCCAAACTCAGCAGAATTACAGATATTTGTGGCCAATCTCACAGCTGATTGGAAACTGTGGTATAAGGACCTACCAGAACTCATTTACCTAAGGCCACTGGGAATACAAGACTTTTTCTCACTACTAAGTGGCTACTGCTGCCCAATTACTGGGTCCTAATGGACTCAGATTAACTCACTGAAAGAAAAGTGGTAACTCTGAACAGACTTCATCCTGCAGTGGATCTTCTCTGACCTAAATTCCCATAGAGTGGGTCAAGCCTCAGAAAGTTTCAATGTGAAATGAAAATGACACCTCCAATTAGGTACAAACAAGACCTTAGTTACCCTCACCAACAGATTGTTGAATATCCATTAGACCCAGAGACAGTCTTGACCATGAATTAACAAACTTTTGGCTTAACTGGAGCCTCACTTACAAGTCTTGGGAAAGGAAATGTTCTACCTTGCTATACAACACCAATTCATACATGTAGAAGGAATTAAGAAATGAGAAAATCACCACTTGGTAGCTATCACAGTAATAAGTGCTTCAGGTAAGAATCATCAATGTATGCTAAAACTAGTAAGTAAAAGTTTGACGAGGAAAAAAATACTTGCATAGATTCAAATACTTTTTAATTAATTTAAAACTAATCACTCAAATACTTTTTAGTTACTTATTAATTAATAAATACAAAATACTTAATAATTAACCATCTTAACCAAGTGGTAAAGTTAAGATCATAAACAGTAGGACAAATTGACATGCTATTCCCCCAATATGATCCACTGAGAAGAACAGAGCATTAAGTCTGTGTTATTCCTGCCAAGAATGTATGACCTCAATGTAGTCTTGAGGAAATATCAGCCAACCACAAACTGAAGGTCATTAAACCAAGTAGCAGATCTATTCTCTTCAAAAGTGTCAAGGAAGAAACGACGAGGAAAAACTGAGCAATTGCTCCACATCGAAGGTGGATGTAGAGACATGAAAACTAAATACAACAGATGACCTTAGATTGGATTTTGGACTGAGAAGGAAAGGACGATTATAAAGGACACTGTTGGAACCATCAGGAATAGTG